AAGAGTCACTATAGTGCCGTGCAGGATATCTCCCACTTGGCAAGGTCCCCGTTTCTGTTGGGCAGGCTGTTTAGGCGGTCTGTGGAGCAAACACGAGAAAAGCTGACCAGCAGTGCTGCTGAGGAGTTCCGGTGAGCAAGCTGAAAAGAGCGCATCTGGCCTGGTTGCATCTTTTGCATTCAAAGTTGCCGGAAGACCCTCATATTTTCCAAACGTAGAGCCTGGAGCCAGCAGAATGTGGTGTGGCATTGTTGCTCTGCATCTCACCAAAAATCCCCTCACTACACTGTAAAATCAAATATGCTCCCAGCCGAGAGGCTCAACCGAAAGAACGGGAGCGACGGACGGAGCAAAAGACTCATAAACGATGCCCTGACGCCAACTGCAGGTTGCATCTTTTTGCATTCAAAGTTGCCGGATATCACAAAGTAGAGCCTCGAGCCAGCAGAGTGTGGCGTGGCATTGTTGCGCTGCATCCTGACCAAAAAACCCCGTACTACACTGTAAAATCAAACATGCTCCCAGCCGAAAGGCTCAACCGCAAGAACGAGAGCGACAGACGGACCAAAGGACTCGTAAACGATGCCCTGACGCCAACTGCAAAACTTAACCTAGCCGGTTATTGTTGGCAACAAGGGAGAGAATGGAGATGACAAGGTATGCTAACGCCTCCCTCAGGTATGCTAACGCCTCCCTCTGACGCGTTCCCAGTGTCGATAAGTGGCAAGTGTTCTCGCATGCCAAACCTTTGACCACTTTTAACTAGCTGACTCGCAGTCCGATAGCCTCTATCTAGGCCCACTGGTGTTCCCTGCACCGCTTCACTACAGTTTCTAATCGTACTAAGCGCACCATTCCTTGCGGCACGAAAAAAGCTGCAGAAGCTGTACGTGGATTTTGCAGTATCGCGATCCTCCCTACGAAACTGGCTCCTGGGAAAACACCACCAATAGTGACGGGTGCAACTGGCCGAACCGAAGAACAGACTTGCAGGTTGGAGTATAAATGGGCACTAGGCAAACAATTCCTATGCAACCTAGCGTAGCCTCGTTTGACGCTTCAAACATGCCTGGCCCACAGGTAGGGTTGCGTATTTCTGAACATTTCTGAACAGACGAATTTGTTATATGGAATAGTAGCTAATTTATTATTGCGACCTCGGGAAAATCAGGTGCCACTAGCAGCAGCTGAAGTTTAGCGTCGATGCTGCCTTGCACAGTGAAACACTACCTCACGCTCGAGGTGTCGACGTGGGATAGTAGGCAGCAGGCTCTCCGGTCACAGGAAGTGCACAGCTTCCAACCGTGGAACCTTCGCACTGCGATGGAAAGTGGCTTGTTTCCAGCGTGCAACGTGACAGGTTATTTATTTTTCAGTTTCCATCGGTGCTGCTTTCATTAAAAAGAAGGCATCATTGGGACTGGTGCCAGTCAGTATCATCATTCCTGAACTTTGCCCATGGACTGAAGTTTAGCGTCGATGCTGCCTTGCACAGTGAAACACTACCTCACGCTCGAGGTGTCGACGTGGGATAGTAGGCAGCAGGCTCTCCGGTCACAGGAAGTGCACAGCTTCCAACCGTGGAACCTTCGCACTGCGATGGAAAGTGGCTTGTTTCCAGCGTGCAACGTGACAGGTTATTTATTTTTCAGTTTCCATCGGTGCTGCTTTCATTAAAAAGAAGGCATCATTGGGACTGGTGCCAGTCAGTATCATCATTCCTGAACTTTGCCCATGGACCTTTCGTGAAGGGCGGCACCGCAGACGTGCACAGGAGAACTTGTTTCAACGGAACCAAAAGCGATGCTGGAGGGCGCAAGCCCAATTGATAAAACTGCAGAGCATGGTCCAAAAACCGAATTAAACTGATATTCTGTTGTGCCGCAGGACGTGACAAAGCAGACTCCGTCGGGCCCATGAAAACTGGGAGCTTGTCAATGACATTTTGCCACCAATCTGCGCGCCTGGCCTTTGCTCCTATTACCTCGCTCGCCGCAAACATTGCATCCAACATGAGCAACTCAAATCCCAGTTTCTCCGCAACTTCTTTGGGTTTGAAAGTGTCTATGCTCTCCTGCGCACGAAAGATAGAAAACTCGACAAGCTTTTCGAGGGCTTCCATGAGAACCTCGAGGTCGACAGAGTCCAGAAAAGGCTTTTTCAAAACTTTGCTAATTTGCAATAGTGCTCTGGCTTGGCCTAGCGACCTACGCCGATTCATCGGCCAAGGTGTGCGTATAATGCCTCTCACCGAAGCACCAGGTGCGCGCATAGGGTTCTGGACACTCTGCGTGTGTGCTTGCTGCTTCTGGTTCCCAAGGAAACCCTCGCTACTTCCGGTCTTTTTCGTCTACACAGGGGTTAGGGGGAAGCAGAAGCATACGCCCGACGACGTACCTGGGGATCCGAAATCTCACTACCCACGACCATATAAGCTACGTTGCTGCCCCGTTGGCCTACGTGCCTGAAGAGAACCGTTGTGCCCCCTGTACCATGCGGACGAGGCAGCTTTTCTCCTGATTGCATGTCGGTGCCTCCCGGAGAAGTTACCTGTGCGTCCACAGGCGAGACTGTCTCGCCTGAGGATTCGTTGGTGCATTGAGTTGATCCTTCCCCAGGGGAAGCGCTACCAGAGGAATCGTCCTCGGGCAAACCTGATACAAAGCCAGTACTCCCAGATGTGGCAGACCCAACGGGAGGCCCTGTGACAGCAGTAGTAAGCCCACAGGGGTCAGACACAGCGGAAGGTCCTGCGCCCACATCAGTAAACCCGGAGGAGGCAGACTCAGCGGCAGGCCCTGTGACCACAGCAGTGAGCTCGGAGGTGACAGATTCAGCGGCAGGCCCTGTGGCAAGGGCCATGAGGGTGTGATCTGGTTCCCCCTCCTGTTCGTCAAAAAACTCCAATTCTTCGAAGGGGAGCCGTAGCCAATCGTCTT